GCCGTCCGCTCGTCGCCCGCCTGCTGTGGGGACGCGGCAGCGCGTCGTTTCTGGACGTAACTCGAGCGCAGTGCTTCGGCTTAGCGCTCCAAGGGGAAGCGCAGGTTAATTACTGCTCAGCCCCCCAGCCCCCACCCCGAGCGAGGGGTGCTTAGTCGAGCAAGGAGAGGGGCGAGGCCGAGGCAGGCCCGAGTGACACCTCTGGGGTGTGGCCTCGGGCCCCTGCCCCCGCTCTGGCCGTGATTCCACTGGCCCAGGCCTGGCACTCTTGGGCAGTTGGAGGTGAGGTGGGAGGCTGGTCTCTGGTTTCCTCTAGGGCGGCCAGATGCAGATGGCTCCGTTCAGAACGTCGTTTTTGGTGCTGCGGGGGAGACGGTCCCCAGGCCCTCTCCTCAGGGAGCCCCAGGCAGGGGAGAGACCTCCAGCCATAGGTCCTAACCCGCCAGGAGAGGCAGCGAAAGGGAAAGTCTCGGTTGCCTTGGGAGTCCTGCCCGATAGTCTGTGTGCTTTTACCATGCCTCAGTTTCCCCAGCCCCAGGAAAATCAGCAACTGGCTGGGCGCCCTTCTTTCTGTCTGCCTCCTGTCTGCTGGGAGGGGCGAGCTGGGAGCTAAAGAGTGTTTGGGGTGACTGGAGGGAGCCAGAGTTGCTAACAGTTCACAAGACCGGCAGTGTTATTTTGTCCTCAACTCAGCTGTGTGAGGTGGAGCCAAATGGGGACCCAGAAGGGGGAGAAGGGATGGGGCAGGGACATCGCAGGTGAGCACTGAATGCAGGAGAGCCGGCTGGCTTTTGAGGGCTAATGGCCTGCTGACTCACTGTCAAAGAGGCACAGGGTGGGCGGGTTCAGGCAGGAGCCCATCCAGGGTCCGGGACGGTGGGGGTGCCCAGGTGCACGCCCACTGCCACAGGTCTTCTCAGCCAGCTTCTGGGAAGCTAGGAAGTAGGTGGGCGGGGTCTCAGGCTGGGCTACCCTCTGAGGGTCTGGCTTCTCCCCCTGATCCCTCCTGGGCTCTGTTTATGGCTGTAATTGCATCATTAGCCAGAGTTTATAGAGTTACTTAGCACCTGCCTCCACAGGGAGTGGCCCAGCTACCCCCTGGCTTCTGTCTCTTCCTTTTCAAAGTCAGCTGGGTTTCTGCCGGCAGTAGGGGTTTCCCCAACCGCAGCTGTCATGAAAGCCAGGTTGGGCCTTTGTCCTGGGCATGGAGGGCAGTCAGCACTTGGGGCCCGGCTTGGGGCTGCCCTGGAGATGACCGTGGAAATTGGGTTGGCCTCCTCTGGTCGGAGGGAGGGAGGGAGGGAGTTCAGGGTTCCCAGGGCTGCCAGAAATGTCCACGTCCCAGGATGCAGTGAGCGTTCGTGCATGGACTGTGCGTACCCTCCTCTGAGGGGCGGGAGATAGGGCACACTCACCTCACAGGCTGTCGTTGAGGGCTCAGGGCAGAGCAGGACCTAGAACCTGGTGAGTAGACAATGTTGCTCTGTGGATCGCTGTGGGGCTTGTGGAATGGGCGTGAGTTTGTGTGTGGTTTTGAGATTGGAAGTATCTAGATCTCTGTGTATAGATGAATTGTGTACGTGTATCTCTGAGTGTGTTAAAATGTAATATGATATTATATTAATAGATATTCATTTCTTTATGCTATACTAGAACAATATTATAACAAAATATATTATATAATAATTGTCAGTATTTATTGTGCGTTTACTCTTTAGAGTAAGGTAGGAGTTATTTTCATTATACCGAGTCAGAGAAGTTAAGCAGGTTGCTTAAAGTCACACAGCCTGGAAGTGGCAGTACCGGGATTCTAACTTCGGTCCAGTGAATCCCAAGTCAAAGTTCTCAATCCCTAAAGAAGGCCGCTTCAGGCTACCCAGGAGTTCTCTCTTAAAAGGTGGGGTGTGATGGTCTGGTGACCTTTCCCCCCCCTATCCAGGGTTTCCTGCTCAAAGCAAGGGAGTGGGAAGGGACTTGCTGAGGCCCCCGCCCGAGACCACACCTGCCTCCTGGCCTCTTTTCTGAGCTGCTGGTATGTGTGACCAAAGGACCCCTGCTGCAGCCTGTCTTGACTGTCCAGGGGAGGAGAAAGGTTCAGACCAGGCTTCCTGGGCCTCTTACTGATGGCCTTCTGAGTGCCCAGCCCTGTGTCATGGACTCCACATCCATTAACTTTGAGTGAGGCTGTCAGTTGACACTTGTTTACTCAGAAGTGGAGAAAAGGCTGTGGAGACTACTGAGGGAGCATGGGATGGCAGGGAAAGTCAGAAGAGCACTGGATCAGGAGTCAAGAGACCCCACTGTGCCTCCAACTGGCTGTGTGGCTAGGCAAGACCTTACTGTGCTCAGCCTGTTTCTTTATCTGTGAAACTAGATCACCTATGGGGTCCCCTCCAGTTCGAACCTTGTATAGATATTTGCCAAAAGTGCTAGGGAAAGAGAGGTTT